TCCACTACCCAGATTATAGGAACTGGTCTCCACGTACTGAATTTTTTAAACAAACTGGGATGTTAGAGAATATCTATCAGATGTTGGCAGATGAAACCCAGCAGAGGCAAGTGAGTTGTGGAAGGTCACCTAGCTAGTTAATAGCAGCTTCTACAAGCCTCTCTACCTTGGCTGCTCAACTGCATTATTTCCATGGACACCAGGATGTGGCTGGAGTTGAGTCAAAGAGGGGCATCACTTCCACTCACCGAGCTGTGCAAAAACGCTCACAAGATGCTTTGCTGAAATCAGTTTGCCTTCAAAATTTAACCCTGGTCCAGAAGTGCAAACCTGAAACCTTAAGGGCCATGTTGTGAGATGTTTTCAACATTAAAAAATTAAGATCTACAGTATAGAGCTGCCTCCACTTGTGGTTCCTGGAATAAAATAACAAGGACCCTTGAGGCAGAATGGGAGGTGCATGCATGAGAGAAGCGATGAACCGCTATTCGGACAGTCAGACATGGGCACATTTTCTCCCAGAATAAAAAGAACCTTCGTCCCACACATGCTACAAAAGATGTGGGAGGGGAGCAGCAATGAAGGACAGAGGGGCTAATCCAAGACAAGTTTGGTTTCAGTGCCTCGCTGGTCTTAGTCTTGGTTCACAGGATACAGGACATCAAGGAAAGAATGAAAGCATATGTTGCATTTTCTCAATTACTGAGTGTGTGTTTCTTAGTGAGAAAATACAAAAATTCATCAGACAGTGTTTCAACTGTCATACCTCACACAGCAGTCTAATAAGACACAAAGGGTAGGAAGGTTTAGCCCCATCACAGAGATCGGCAAACTGAGGCCTGGAAAGGAGACCACAGAAGTAGCGGTCTTTCTCCCCGAGCTTCATCCAATAGACCACAGAATCCCTACAGTTCAGAGGTCAGCAAAGTTTTCAATAAAGAGCCAGATGGTAAATATTTAAGGCTGTGAAGACCATACAGTCACAACTACTCAACTCTGCCCATCTGGTAAAGGCAGCCATAAACGTAAACTAATGGGTGTGGGTGTGGTCCAATAAAACGCTAAGAAACAGTGGCGCAAATCTGGCCCATGGCCATGGTTTGTTGTGGTTGATCAGTGTGCCCCCCCCCCCGATACCCATCCGCTGTATCATCACAGACTCTCTAACTCAGCCTCGAATGTTTTCGAGGTAACATCATCTCTCAGATCCAGAGGTGGTAATTACTGCCATAAGAGACAACATCCTTTGATTCTCATAAACAGTAACAGGCAGAGAGCCGTGTCAGAGGATGGTAAACCTTTCGGACACACCCCTGTTGCTGAGACGATCTTCTCTTACCAGGAAGCCGAAAGCCCCTCTCACTCCCCCCGTGGGTCTCTCCATATAGCATGTGTAATTCGATGCACAGAATTAGTATGTGACATCTCCTCTCCCCTCGCAAGCATTTTTGCCTGAAAAACCAGACAGCAGTCTCATCGCGACAGCACGAGAATAACTTGTCATCCTGGTAATGGTCTAACTGCATACAAGTGTCTGTCATAATGAAAATTGGTCTCTTCCATTTCAATTCATTTTGTCAACAATCCAAATGGAACCTGAATATATCTTCCAACACCACTGCACACAGAGCAAATAGGAAGAGAACTTTAAAATGGACCGCATCATCATACAACTAAATATTTACATTAAAAAAGATTCTCTCTTCTGGAAGACATCCCAGCTCTACCATGCTCCCCTGCCAGTACACCTGCAGCTTTTTGTAGCTAATTAAGAAACTCCAGAAAATGCATTCAAAAGGGCCTCAGCAAACAGATGCCCACTCCATTAATTAAACAAGCCGGAGCAATCACCCAGGCTGTAATTGGAAAATGTGCTTCCTTCCTCCACTGTAAGGCAATCACAGTTATTTGCAAATGTTTTCTGATAGTTTCTCAAAAGACAGAGTAGGCTCTGGCTTCCTCTAGCAAGGGGCAAGATGTTTAGGAAAGGTTAGAGGTAGGAGACAGTCACCCAAGTTCACTAATTAGCTCTTCTGCCCCTTCCTCTCCCTCCAGAAGACAGTGCTAATGAGAAAAGGTAGTTTAAGTGTTAAAAAAAGAAAGGAAGCTTGCTAATACTACTTAATGGCATAAAAACGTTCCCATGCAGTGCACTCTTCAGAGCTCTAATTAGGATGCACAGTGGTCCAGTATGTGTAGAAAGTAGCCACAGCCCAGTGGTCCTCCATTTAGCTGAGTTCTCACCAGTGCTGGGAGCAGGAGGGAGGTGAAGAAGGCCACCTGCGGAAGGAGGAAGGAAACAAAATAGCGGGGAGTCTCTCCTATCATCTCGTCTTTGGGTTCCAGGCAATGTTTTAGGGGAGCCCTGGTCTTAAGTAAAATGCCCTTAGTCATGGATTATCCTTAAGCATCTCATTCAGGGCTTACAGATGCCATGGCCTCCAGGAGCCAGTACTCAGGTTATTAAGCTATTGCTCTGAGCAGTAAACCCACCCTTCTACACTCTCCTCTGTGGTGTGGGGCTAAGACTTTGCAAATCACTTCTCCTTTGCCAGCTGGCTTCCTGTTAAGTGCCACTGATGGAGGGCACTAAAGGGAGACTGAAAAGCTGTAGGAGTAAAAAAGGACTTGCTCTTTCCTGTTTTGCTGTTTCCTGTTGGCATCAACCAAGTGATGGCCCTTCCCCTCAGCAACAACAGTGGGTCCCATTTCCAAGGTCCTTCCGGCCCTCCCAGATATAAACTCATGGCATCCTCCCTACCCACTCAGATACACCAGCCCCAGCTGGTAGCACTTCCTTCTCAGAGTTCTGAGTCCCAGTTCCATAGGGCCCCTCCTCCAAGAACCTAGGTTCCAATAGCCCCATGTTCTTAACTTTGTTTCTCAAGCCTTAAGAATAATCCATGCTTTCTGCAGTTACTACCTTTTGATACCTCAGTATTCCCTTTTTGCCCTTCAAGTCCCTTTAAAAGAGAGAATTTAAAATAGAGAAAGCTAGTGAGGTTTTTTTTCTACTGACTTGACTCTGACTAATCCAATATTTGATACCAAAAGTGGTCTTAGGAAGCTGATCCTCAAAGATGGGATTCTGGGATTGGTTGGGTCCTCTTGTCCTTGGTCTGTTGAAAACAGTGCTGTGGTCCTTGAGAAATGGGGTATTAGTACTAGTAACCTCTAGTGAGCAGTGACACCATGATTAGTCACATTATCACCTGTAATTATTTCCTTTCAGTTTCTGTGAGTCAGAAGTTCAAGCAGCAGCTTAGCTGGACAATTCTGGCTCAGGGTCTCTTATGAAGTTGCAATCAACATGTCAGCTGTGGGTAAATCAAGGGACGGCTTGACTGTGGACTGCTGTGCTCTTATGGCTGGAACGTTGGTGCTGGCTGTCAGCAGGAGGCCTCAGTTCCTCTTCACACGGACCTCTCCACAGGGCTGCTTGAGTGTCCTCACAATATGGTGGCTGGGTTTCCCAAAAGTGAGTGATGCATGACAGAGTACAAAGAAGACACAGCCCCATCCCCTAGCCAGGGTTGGACACTGACCCAGGAGGTGTCCTGGAGGGAAAAGCTTTGCTTAAAAAGAGAGAGAGAGAGAGAAAAAATGGGAACCTGTCAGATCCTATCCCTCAGGAATTTGATCAGGAATATTTGGTGGTCAGAGCCTAATTCCTAAGGGTACACACTGGAGGGGTGCTCTGAAGCAGCAGGGTCTATAAGTGAACTCAATTTATGCAGAAGTGAAAGCCATCCAGAGGAGAAAAATATTTGGAGGGTAGAGGGTACACAGAGACTCAGAGGACAGGGAAGAAGGATGTCAGTAACAGCAAGAATAGTAAAAGCAAATATTATGAGATGTTACATTACTTGAAGGTAGCATATCTACAAATTCCAGTGGAGGGGCCAAAAGAATCTTGTTGGTAAAAAGGCCTTGGACCCTTTCAGTCCCTGAACTATGCCTCACTCTGACTCTGACAACTCCCAGGACAAGCCCAAGTCTTGTCTCTTTTTTGCCATGTTGCTTTTTATTAAAACCTCATTGCTGCAGTCATCTTTGTAAGGTACTCTTCCTTACACCAAAGCAACCAGATAAGCCAGGGCTTTTAATCAAATAAAACATCTTAGGGTTTACACAGCTCTCTTACAGCCCACTGGCATCAAATCCTCACAGCAGCTCAGAGAGGGAGGCAGAACAGTGACGGCTCCATCCCACAAATGAGGAGACTAAGGCTCACAGAGACTGAAGGAATTGACCAAGTTCATGCAACTAGTAAGGTAAGTCAGGGCAAAGCTCAAATCCAGTTCTACCTGCCAACCCAGTGCTCTTTCCCACGTCACCATATAACTACCATATACCTAGATAAAGGAACGACTGAAGAGACACTGAGCCACTGAGTACCCTCCACAAGACAAGCACAGTGCCAGGAGTTCAGAAACATTAGGGAACAACAGAGAAGAAGATTTCTGCCTTATGGAGCTTCCGTTCATGTGTGTAGCCATGGGAAGCAAACTACAGATGTAAGGTGAATTCTCAAAGCCCACCATGAAATCTGCCTCTTTATCCTGCCACTTCAGCATTTCAGGCCTTGTACATAATTATTAAATACACACACATGCCGCCTTATTTATTTATACACATAATTGCTATAACTGTGAGTTAGGTGAGCCGCTTCACCTCTCTGAACTCCAGTCATCCTACCTACAGAATGGAGTGCAGTAACATCCACGTCTTTTGGTTTGCTATGAGAATTCAGTGGTGTGCTGCACTTAGCACTGTGACTGACACACAGTAAACACTGAATAAGCAATACCCAACTGCTGTCCTATCATCATCGTTGTTGTTACCTCTGAACTCCAGTGGGTGACAGCCAAGCAGATTTAATTTTGAAAATATGCAGATTTTATTAGGAAAATAAAAAGCGTGGCCTGTTATGTCATTAGTATTTCCTATTTGCCCCCAGTTCTGATATGGCAACTGTGAGGAATGTTTGACCCAGGGGAGATGTTCATTGCAATTTTTAATTTAATTAATTAATATGTTGCCTTGAATTAATTAATTAATATTCAAGGTCCCTTTCCCCGTGCCACCGTCTTCCTCACTTGCCCAGGAAGAAGGAATCTCCATGGACTGGTCAGATCTGTGAACACTATTGGGCTGAAGGGTAGAGACACCCTGTAGTAGGAGGTGAGAGAGGTAAGGAGACTGGAGCTGAGATCCAGCCCCTCTCCTCACCTCCTGCCTCCTCTCCCACATGGCACCAGCCCTGGCACAGGACTAAGCCAGCCTGGTACCAGGCACTGTCTTTCTACACCAGCTCTTCTTGTAAGTCTTCCGGCTCTGGAGGGATGGAATGAATCAGCCTTCCTTCTCGACGATAAGAACTCAGCCTTCAGTCTTCACACTGAGGGACCACATAGGCAAAGCAGGACCCATACTCCACTCCATTTCCATAGTAGTCTGTGTAAAAGGGTTGGTCCACGTTGCCCAGGTCAGCTTGCCAGAGTGTTCTGCATTGGGAGACAAGGGCCAATTCCCATTTACCACTGCTCATTTCCCTCAGGGTTCTGGTGGGAAAAAACAGGCAGAATTTGGTTTTCCTCACTTCTTGGCCAAACTTCACCTTCACACTATCTCTCACTAGGATATCTCACAGAATGAACAAATAGATGAATATGCATTTATTTATCACAGTCCCTACCTCAGGGAACTTATGCTCTGCTTACGGGAGCAGAGCTGGCTTCTACAACACTCTCCAGTGCTCTCTTTTCCCTTAGAGACATGGGGTCCAGGTGATGTCGCTACAAGAAGATGGTGACTCTGGTTCCCTGAGTGTCTATGTGGAGAAGAGCCCCTTGCCAGCCCACATGGCCCAGGGCTGTTTGTTAACACAGCATAACTTAGACCATCCTGACTCTGTGGTTTAGGTGTGAACTGCAGCATGGCTTAATTTCAAAGACATGCTGCAGGTTGAGTATCAATAAAATCTCCTGAGAATCTGTCTAGTCTGTCTTAATTTCTTAAATTATATTATTCCAGGATCCTAGGGGCCATGGTGAAGAGACAGGTCCTAGTAATCAATACAAAGCAGCCAGGAGGGAAAAAAAAAAAAGTCACCAAAACAGCAACATAATGAAAGTCACCAGAAAAGCAACATAATGAAAATTACATTCTTGGAAGACCCTCTTGTTCTGATACGAAGATATATCGGTGGAGGTAGGGACTAGAGGGGTATAGAACAAATTCAGCTAGGAATGATAAAGATACAGGAAAAAACAGGCCATAAAATGATGCTAGAGGAACCATGAGAATCATGGAAGATGGTGGGAAGAGGGCCCTGGAGACTCCAGGCAGCCATGTGAACTTTGATCCTTCCTTTGCCCATACTCCTAGAGTCCCCAAATCATTTAGCTTCTCTGTATCTGCCCTTTCCTTGCCATCCCCACAAACATGACCAAGCCTAATCATTTTAGGCAAAGCACTATCTTCTTCAGCTGATAAAACAAACTTGCAACTCATCATAGCTGCTACTATCCACATGGTCTTGGATCATATCTCCTTTTCTTTATTGGAGATTCCGAGAGCTTTCAACTTTCTGTTTTGGCAGATTCTGCTAACAGAGGTGAACAATAGTAGCAAAGGAAAGCTTCCTTCTGAGGAGAAAATTTCCAACATAGAAAAATACCTGTCCATTCCCCCATTTTTCCTTGTACCCAGGTGGGAATAATATATTGAGTCTGCATAATAGGTCTAGCTAACTTCAATAAAGAGAACAGGACTTTTAGAATTGAAGCCATTTGTTAGGATGGTGGAGGAAAAGGGGGTAAGGAGTGGTTCCCTCATGACTTTGTGAAGCCTGCATGTTTACCTTCAGATTTAATTTACATAAGAAAGAAATTGCTACCTGTTCAAAATATTCTTATCTTGGGTTTTCAGTTGTACATGGTTAAATCTAATTCTTACTGGTACCATGGGGCTTCCTACTTCCTCCATTCTTTATTGGAGAAGGAAGTAAAATATATGCACTGACCTTTCATATCACAGCTAGTAGGCAGCAAAAAAGCGCCAACCAAGATCTCTCTGACTCTGAAAACTAAGCTTTCCAGAGTTGCCACAGAGCTGCTCTGACTAGTATTTTGATAAGCAAAGAATGGCACACCTGATGTCAGCACAAAGTACCAAAAGCAAGGAAAGGTACCAAAAGTGAGTAGCTTTCCTAAAGCTACATTTTATTATATAAACAAAGGGAACTGTCTTAAACAGAATTCTTTCAGATGTAAAAGAATCTCCACTCAAACTAGATTAAACAAGGAAAAATTTAATTAGTTCAAAGAACTGGGAAGTATGCGGATTTGCTATCTTCATGCACATATGAATCAAGGGACTTAATGTTGTTCTCTGTCATATATTCTCTATCTTTATCTCTGTCTCTTTGTCCTTCACCCAGTGTGTTGATCTCATTCTCTTCTATAGCAGTAAATCTTTCTCTATTAGGCAAAGGGAGATGGTCCTTGACAGTCCCAAATTTACATTCTCCCAGCCTAACACACTCAGCCAAAAGAGCATCCCTTTGTCTCAATGTCCCTATATCAGTCCCAGAGAAGACCATGATTGACACTATCTGCCCCTGGAACAATCACTATTGCTATGAAATGAGGTACCAAGATTGGCTAGGCAGGGTGGGGTGTATAGGATTGGGGCAAGGGATGGAGATTGACATTTCCATTAGAATGTAATGGGGGAAGGATGGCTCCCAAAGGAAAGGACAAAAGAGCAGGAAAAACATTGTATATTCACTCCAGGAGTCACTAAATATTTTTGAGCAAGGGAGTAACAAAATGAAACAAGAAAGAAACAAAATAAAAATAAACATGGGGACTTCCCTGGTGGTGCAGTGGTTAAGAATCCGCCTGCCAGTGCAGGGGACACAGGTTCAAGCCCTGGTCTTCAAGCCACATGCCACGGAGCAACTAAGCCCGTGTACCACAACTACTGAGCCCACGTGCCACAACTACTGAAGCCTGCATACTCTAGGGTCCACGTCCCGCAACTACTGAGCCCACATGCTGCACCTACTGAAGCCCACGTGCCTATAGCCCATGCTCTGCAACAAGAGAAGCCACCACAATGAGAAGCCACACACTGCAGCAAAGAGTAGCCCCTGCTTGCCACAACTAGAGAAAGCCCACGTGCAGCAGTGAAGACCCAACACAGCCAAAAATTTTAAAAATTAAAAAAAATATAAAAACATGAATGCCCTGGGCAGATGGGTTGGTGGGTAAAAGGAGGTAGCTTTTAGAATAATCAGGAAGGGAGTAATGAAGGGCTTAACCTGAGGAATGGTAATACACAACAAAAGAAAAGAAGGGTCAAAAATGCCAGCCGCATGTCTACTTCCAGCCATGAGGGAATAACAGTGTCTAGACTAACCCCTCTAGGGAATTGGGAAACTGTACAAAATATATTTCCAGATATTGGGCAACAGGCAACAAAAGACTGTGATCCCTGAGAGAAGAGAAATAAACAAAGTGAATTCCATGATCACCCCAAATTTCTGCCTGGAGTCAATTTCCAGATTGTGGCAAAGAGAAGGGGAACCTGAATAGAGCACAGTGGGTATTGTTGAATTGAGGAGTCAGAGATCAAGAGTTTTAGGGAGCTGAGTTAGCTAAAATTTGTGGGGCAGAATGTCAAGAAGGAGAGAGCTTTTATAAAATGAGTTCCAAATACCTGCACAGGGACTGCCTTTATTCTTTGTTCAAATAACAAGCTCTGTATGGTGAAACTACATAAAGCTGGGCAAAGGACAAACTCTGGAGAAAGAACAATTACCAAAGAGCTGTAGACTAGATAATTCCCAGAGTTCACCCTGGACCTGGAATCATTCAAGTTCCCACCAGCAATAATGGAGAGACCTTACTGAATCACACAGTCTTTAGTAAAAGGCAAAAAAACCCCAGTGTCTTAGTAGAGAAGCTAAACTAATCCCAGGGGAAAATTACTCTAAAGTCACCCTTAAAGAGCTTAAAAACGAGTCTCAAAAGAAACAAGCTACCTTGAAGCAATCAATGCAACACTCAATGATGCAAAATATACAATGTCCAACTTCAATAAAAAATTACTAGACATCTGTAATGAAGCATGAAAATGTGATCCATAAGAATTTTAAAAATCAATAGGAACAGAGGTAGAAATGACAAAAACTATGTAATTAACAAGGGTCCTAAAACATCTCTTACAAATACATTCAAAATGCTTAACTAGTGAAAGGAAAGCATTAACATAATAAGGACAGAAGTGGAGGTCATAAAAAAGAATCAAATGGAACTACCAAAGATGAAAAAATACAATATTTCAAGAAAAAACTTCACTGGATAGGAATAACTACATAGTAGACACTGCCAAAGAAAAAAACTATAAAATTGAAGACATAACAACAGAAACTATACAAAATAAGGCACAGAACAACAAAAGAAGATTGAAAAAATGAACAGAGCCTCAGTAACCTATGGAACAACATCAAATTTTTTTTTTTTTTTTTTTTTTTTGCGGTACGCGGGCCTCTCACTGCCGTGGCCTCTCCCGTTGCGGAGCACAGGCTCCGGATGCGCAGGCCCAGCGGCCATGGCTCACGGGCCCAGCTGCTCCGTGACACGTGGGATCCTCCCGGACCGGGGCACGAACCCACGTCCCCTGCGTCGGCAGGCGGACTCCCAACCACTGCGCCACCAGGGAAGCCCCAAACATTTTAATGTATGTAAAATTAAAGTCCCAGGGAAGAGGAGAGATAAAGGAGCAAAGAAAAAATGTCTGAGAAAATCACAACAACAACGAAAAAATATCTGATATTGGAACAACCCAAATGACCATCAACAAATGAATGGATAAAAAAGATGTAGTATATATACACAATGGAATATAACTCACCTTGAGAAAGGAGGATATCCTGCCACTTGCAACAACATGGATGGACCTTCAGTACATTATACTAAGTGATATAAGCGACAGAGAAAGACAAGTACTGTAAATCACATATATTTGGAATCTAAAACAACAACAACGTTTTAAAAAAACAAAATAGGGACTTCCCTGTTGGTCCAGTGGCTAAGACTCCACGCTCCCAATGCAGGGGGCCTGGGTTCAATCCCTGGTCAGGAACTAGATCCCACATGCCGCAACTAAGAGTTCTCATGCCACAACTAAAGACCCTGCATACTGCAACTAAAGACCCTGCATGTCACAACTAAAGATCCCACATGCCACAACAAAGATCCCACATGTGGCAATGAAGATCCCACATGCTGCAACTAAGACCCAGCACAGCCAAATAAATAAATATTTTAAAAAATAAATAATGTAAAAAATAAAAAAAACAAAACAGAGTTAAACAGTGGTTACTAGGAGATGGGGGGTGGATTGATGGTGTTTAAGGGTACAAACTTGTAACAAGTTCTAAAATAGCAATAGATATTTAATGTACAGTTTATTGTACTACAAGTATGTAATGTGATCAATATCATTACAACTGCAACCATATTACAATATAGAAATGTATCAAAATAACATGACGTACACCTTAAATTTATACAGTGTTACATGTCAACTTTATCCAATAAATAAATAAGTAAATTTTAAAATGATAAACTTGATGAAAATTGCAAACTGACAGATCCAAGAAGCTCAACAAGACTCAAACAGGATAAACATAAAGCAAAGTATACCAAGACACGTTTTAATCAGATTCCTGAGAACCAGAGGAAAAAGACACATTACATACTGAGGAACAAAGAGGAAAATAATTTCAGACCTCTCCTCAGAAACCCAGAAAACAATGCTAAATGAAAATGCTGAAAGAAAAAAATTATCAACTTAGAATTTTATACACAGTAAAACTATATCTCAAAAATGAAGGCAAATAAAGATATTTTCAGGAAAAAACTGAAATAATTCATCACTAGCATATCTGCACTGTAAGAAATGTTAAAGAAAGTACTTCAGGCAAAAGGAAAATTATGCCAACTAGAAGCTTACATATAAACAAAAGACTGAAGAGACAGAAATGGTGAATATAAAAGTCTTTTTTCTAATTTTTAAATTTCTTTAAAGATAATGGTTTGAAGAAAAAGTAATATATTCGGGGATTTATGACATATATAGAGGTATTATATATGTGCAAAGTATGGGAGGGGGATATGGAAGTATATTATTGTAAGATTCTTATATTGTACATGAAGTGGCATAATATTATTTGAAGGTAGTCTGCAATGTTAATTATGTATATTTTAAATCCTAGAGCAACCACTTAGAAAAATATTTAAAAGGTGTTTAACTAATTAGCCAATAGTGGAAATAAAATGGAATACCAGAAGACACTCAACCCAAAAGAAGGCAAGAAAGAAGGGGAGAGGGAATAAAGATCAGATGAGACAAATAGAAAGCGAATATCAAGCTGATAGACTGAAATCCAACTTTTTAAATTATTATATTAAATTTAAGTGGTCTAAACATTTCAATTAAAAGGCAGATTGCCAAAATGGATTTAAAAAACAAAACAAAAAAAACATGATCCACCTATATGCTGAATCCAAGAAACTCAATTTAAATATTAAAATACAAACAAGTGTAAAAGTATAGAAAAAGATACATGATGCAAATAATAATAATAATAAAGTTGGAATGGCTATGTTAATATCAAACAGAGTAAACGTCAGAACAAGGTCTATTGCCAGGGATTAAAAGGAATTTTTCATAATGATAAAGAGTCAATCTAGCAAGAATATGTAACAATACTAAATTTTAGTACAAATGATAATAGAGCTTCAAAATATGTGTAGCAATAACTAATAGAATTGAAAAACAAAATAGAATAATCTACAATTACAGTTGGATATTTCAACACTCTTCTCTCAATAATTAATAGAACAGTAGACAGTACATCAATAGAGGTACAGAACACTTAACACTTTCAATCAACTTGACATAGTTGACATGTATAGACTACTCCACCCAACGACTGTGGAATACACATTCTTTTCAAGGGCATATGGAACTTTCAACAGACAAACTATATACTAGACCACAAAACAAGTCCCAATAAATGTAAATGGATTGAAATTATACAAAATATGGTCTTTAACCACAATGGAATTAAATAAGAAATCAATAACAATATGTGGAAAATTCCCAAAATATTTAAAAATTAAAGAACACATTTCTAAATAACATATAAGTAAAAGAAGAAATCACAATAGTAATAAGAAAATTTTGGACCTAATGAAAATGAAGCCACAACATGTGAAAATGTGGAGAGTACAGCTAAAACAGTGCTGAGAAGGAAATTTATGGTTTCAAATGCTTTAAAATTAATGATCTAAGGTTCCACCTTAAGAATCTGGAACTCCACTTCTTATTTGCTACAGGACTTAAAAGACAAATGCATTAAAAAAATTATAAATCTATGTGATTGGTACACAATATATAAAGATATAATTTGTGACATCAATAATATAAAGTAGTAAGCACAAGTGTAAAGGAGTAGAGTCTTTGTATACAACTGGTATTAAATTGGTACCAATTTAAAATAGATTGTTATAAATTTAGGATGTTATATATAATATCCACAATAATCCAAAGAACATATCTATAGAATATACACAAAGGAAATGAGAAGAAAATCAAATGTTTCATTACCAAAAAAAAATAAAATAAACACAAAAGAAGGCAGTAATGGAAGAAATGAGGGATTAAAAGTCACAAGACATACAGAAAGCATAACAAAATGGCAAAAGTAAGTCCTTTCCTATCAGCAATTACTTTAGATATAGATGAATTAAACTCTTTAGTCAAAAGGCATAGAGTGGACCAGAGGGCAGACAGCAGAAGCAAGAAGAAGTAAAATCCTGTAGCCTGTGGAACAAAAACCACATTCACAGAAGGACAAACAAGATGAAAAGGCAGAGGGCTATGTACCAGATGAAGGAACAAGATAAAACCCCAGAAAAACAACTAAATGAAGTGGAGATAGGCAACATTCCAGAAAAAGAATTCAGAATAATGATAGTGAAGATAATCCAGGACCTCAGAGAAAGAATGGAGGCAAAGATTGAGAAGATGCAAGAAATCTTTAAAAAAGACCTAGAAGAATTAAAGAACAAATGAACAGAGTTGAACAATACAGTAACTGAAATGAAAACTATACTAGAAGGAATCAATAGCAGAATAACTGAGGCAGAAGAATGGATAAGTGACCTGGAAGACAGAATGGTGGAATTCACAGCTGTGGAACAGAATAAAGAAAAAAGAGTGAAAAGAAAGGAAGACAGCCTAAGAGATCTCTGGGACAACATTAAGTGCAACAAAATTCGCATTATAGGGGTCCCAGGAAGAGAAAAGAGAGAGAAAGGACCGGAGAAATATTTGAAGAGATTATAGTCGAGAAGTTCCCTAACATGGGAAAGGAAATAGCCACCCAAGTCCAGGAAGCGCAGCAAGTCCCATACAGGATAAACCCAAAGAGAAACACGCTGAGACACATAGTAATCAAATTGGCAAAAATTAAATACAAAGAAAAATTATTGAAAGCAGGAAGGGAAAAATGACAAATAATATAGAAGGGAACTCCCATAAGGTTAACAGCTGATTTCTCAGCAGAAACTCTACAAGCCAGAAGGGAGTGGCATAATATACTTAAAGTGATGAAAGGGAAGAACCTACAACCAAGATTACTCTACATGGCAAGGATCTCATTCAGATTTAATGGAGAAATCAAAACCTTTACAGACAAGCAAAAGCTAACAGAATTCAGCACAACCAAACGAGCTCTACAACAAATGCTAAAGGAACTCCTCTAAGTGGGAAACACAAGAGAAGAAAAGGACCTACAAAAACAAACCCAAAACAATTAAGAAAATGGTCATAGGAACATACATATTGATAATTACCTTAAACGTGAGTGGATTAAATGCTCCAACCAAAAGACACAGGCTTGCTGAATGGATACAAAAACAAGACCCATATATATGCTGTCTACAAGAGACCCACTTCAGACCTAGGGACACATACAGACTGAAATTGAGGGGATGGAAAAATATATTCCATGCAAATGGAAATCAAAAGAAAGCTGGAGTAGCAATACTCATCAGATAAAATAGACTTTAAAATAAAAAATGTTACAAGAGACAAGGAAAGACACTACATAATGATCAAGGGATCAATCCAAGAAGAAGATATAACAATTATAAATACATATGCACCCAACAAGGGGGAGCACCTCAATATATAAGGCAACTGCTAACAGCTGTAAAAGAGGAGATCAACAGTAACACAATAACAGTGGGGGACTTTAACACCTCACTTACACCAATGGACAGATCATCCAAAATGGAAATAAATAAGGAAAGCGAAGCTTTAAATGACAGAATATACCAGATAGATTTAATTGATATTTATAGGACATTCCATCCAAAAACAGCAGATTACACTTTCTTCTCAAGTGCGCATGGAACATTTACCAGGATAGATCACATCTTGGGTCACAAATCAAGCCTCAGTAAATCTAAGAAAATAGAAATCATATCAAGCATCTTTTCTGACCACAACGTTATGAGATTAGAAATGAATTACAGGGGAAAAAAATGTAAAAAACACAAACACATGGAGGCTAAACAAAATGCTACTAAATAACCATGATATCACTGAAGAAATCAAAGAGGAAATCAAAAAATACCTAGAGACAAATGACAATGAAAACACAATGATCCAAAACCTATGGGATGCAGCAAAAGCTGTTCTAAGAGGGAAGCTTATAGCCATACAAGCCTACCTCAAGAAACAAGAAAAATCTCAAATAAACAATCTAACCTCACACCTAAAGGAACTAGAGAAAGAAGACAAAATAAGCCCAAAGTTAGCAGAAGGAAAGAAATTATAAAGATCAGAGCAGAAATAAATGAAATAGAAACAAAGAAAACAATAGCAAAGATCAATAAA